TCTGGAGGGTCTGGAGGGTCTGGAGGGTCTGGAGGGTCTGGAGGGTCTGGAGGGTCTGGAGGGTCTGGAGGGTCTGGAGTCTGGAGGGTCTGGAGAGGGTCTGGAGGGTCTGGAGGGTCTGGAGGGTCTGGAGGGTCTGCAGGGTCTGGAGGGTCTGTCTGGAGAGTCTGGAGGGTCTGGAGGGTCTGGAGGTCTGGAGGGTCTGGAGGGTCTGGAGGGTCTGGAGGGTCTGGAGAGGTCTGGAGGGTCTGGAGAGGGTCTGGAGGGTCTGGAGGGTCTGGAGAGGTCTGGAGGTCTGGAGGTCTGGAGGGTCTGGAGGGTCTGGAGGGTCTGGAGGGTCTGGAGGGTCTGGAGGGTCTGGAGGGTCTGGAGGGTCTGGAGAGTCTGGAGGGTCTGGAGGTCTGGAGGGTCTGGAGGGTCTGGAGAGTCTGGTCTGGAGGGTCTGGAGAGTCTGGAGGTCTGTCTGGAGGGTCTGGAGGGTCTGGAGGGTCTGGAGTGGTTCTTTGTGTCAGATGTTCCTCAACGTTCATCTCCACTGGGACAGAATCTGACTAAACAAAACTCCACAAAACACGACGTCTGAGTTTGGATTTATTTATTTATTTATTTATTTATTTATTTATTTGATTCAGCAGCAAATAAAGATTTAAACTCAGATTTAAACAGCAGAGTTAATATTTTGTGCTGTACTCAGGAAGTTACTTTGAAAATGTAATCCCCTACTGATTACAGATTACATACTCCACAATGTAGTTTGTAACAGAATCCATTAAATGACTTAAAGTGAGTAATGTAATCTGATTACTTTGGATTACTTGATTTGTTGTAGAGAAACAAAGACGAGGAAATCTTCACATAAGAAGTTTTATCTGATAAAAGAAAATAAAAAGTCCAGATTTTACTGAACCAAATTAAAAATATTATTGATAAAAGACGAAGAAACACGTCCACACAGCAGGATTTAGTCCTGGTTTAGACCTGGTTTAGTCCTGGTTTAGTTCTGGTTTAGACCTGGTTTAGTCCTGGTTTAGTTCTGGTTTAGACCTGGTTTAGTCCTGGTTTAGTCCTGGTTTAGTCCTGGTTTAGTTCTGGTTTAGTCCTGGTTTAGTTCTGGTTTAGTTCCTGGTTTAGTCCTGGTTTAGTCCTGGTTTAGTCCTGGTTTAGTTCTGGTTTAGTCTGGTTTAGTCTGGTTTAGTCCTGGTTTAGTCCTGGTTTAGTTCTGGTTTAGTCCTGGTTTAGTTCTGGTTTAGTCCTGGTTTAGTCCTGGTTTAGTCCTGGTTTAGTTCTGGTTTAGTTCTGGTTTAGTCCTGGTTTAGTTCTGGTTTAGTCCTGGTTTAGTCCTGGTTTAGACCTGGTTTAGTTCTGGTTTAGTCCTGGTTTAGTCCTGGTTTAGTTCTGGTTTAGTCCTGGTTTAGTCCTGGTTTAGTCCTGGTTTAGTTCTGGTTTAGTCTGGTTTAGTCCTGGTTTAGTCCTGGTTTAGTCCTGGTTTAGACCTGGTTTAGACCTGGTTTAGTCCTGGTTTAGTCCTGGTTTAGTCCTGGTTTAGTCCTGGTTTAGTCCTGGTTTAGTCCTGGTTTAGTCCTGGTTTAGTCCTGGTTTAGTTCTGGTTTAGTCCTGGTTTAGTCCTGGTTTAGTCCTGGTTTAGTCCTGGTTTAGTTCCTGGTTTAGTCCTGGTTTAGTCCTGGTTTAGACCTGGTTTAGTTCCTGGTTTAGTCCTGGTTTAGTCCTGGTTTAGTCTGGTTTAGTCTGGTTAGTCTGGTTTAGTCTGGTTTAGTCCTGGTTTAGTCCTGGTTTAGTTCTGGTTTAGTCCTGGTTTAGTCCTGGTTTAGTTCTGGTTTAGTCCTGGTTTAGTCCTGGTTTAGTTCTGGTTTAGACCTGGTTTAGTCTGGTTTAGTTTCTGGTTTAGTCCTGGTTTAGTCCTGGTTTAGACCTGGTTTAGTTCTGGTTTAGTCCTGGTTTAGTCCTGGTTTAGTCCTGGTTTAGTCCTGGTTTAGACCTGGTTTAGTTCTGGTTTAGTCCTGGTTTAGACCTGGTTTAGTTCTGGTTTAGTCCTGGTTTAGTCTGGTTTAGTCCTGGTTTAGTCCTGGTTTAGTTCTGGTTTAGTCCTGGTTCGTTTGGTTTAGACCTGGTTTAGTTCTGGTTTAGTCCTGGTTTTAGGTCCTGGTTTAGTTCCTGGTTTAGTCCTGGTTTAGTCCTGGTTTAGTCCTGGTTTAGTCCTGGTTTAGTCCTGGTTTAGTCCTGGTTTAGACCTGGTTTAGTTCTGGTTTAGTCCTGGTTTAGTCTGGTTTAGACCTGGTTTAGTTCTGGTTTAGTCTGGTTTAGTCCTGGTTTAGTCCTGGTTTTGGTTTTAGTTCTGGTTTAGTCCTGGTTTAGTCTGGTTTTAGACTGGTTAGGGTTTAGTCCCTGGGTTTAGTCCTGGTTTAGACCTGGTTTAGTTCTGGTTTAGTCCTGGTTTAGTCCTGGTTTAGTCCTGGTTTAGTCCTGGTTTAGTCTGGTTAGTCCTGGTTTAGTCCTGGTTTAGTCCTGGTTTAGTCCTGGTTTAAGTTCTGGTTTAGTCCTGGTTTAGTCCTGGTTTAGTCCTGGTTTAGTCCTGGTTTAGTTCTGGTTTAGTCTGGTTTAGTCCTGGTTTTAGTTCTGGTTTTAGTCCTGGTTTAGTTCCTGGTTTAGTCTGGTTTAGTCCTGGTTTAGTCCTGGTTTAGTTCTGGTTTAGTTTAGTCCTGGTTTAGTCCTGGTTTAGTCCTGGTTTAGTCCTGGTTTAGTCTGGTTTAGTAGTCTGGTTTAGTCCTGGTTTAGACCTGGTTTAGTGGTTTAGTCTGGTTTTTAGTTTAGTCCTGGTTTAGTTCTGGTTTAGTCCTGGTTTGTCCTGGTTTAGTCCTGGTTTAGTTCTGGTTTAGTTCTTTAGTCCTGGTTTAGTCCTGGTTTAGTCTGGTTTAGTCCTGGTTTAGTCCTGGTTTTTTTTAGTCCTGGTTTAGTCCTGGTTTAGTCCTGGTTTAGTTCTGGTTTAGTCCTGGTTTTAGTCCTGGTTTAGTTCTGGTTTAGTCCTGGTTTAGTCCTGGTTTAGTCCTGGTTAGTCCTGGTTTAGTTCTGGTTTAGTTCTGGTTTAGTCTGGTTTAGTCCTGGTTTAGTTCCTGGTTTAGTAGTTCTCTGTTTAATCCATTTATTTGAACAAAGTAACTGTAATCCAGTTCCCACTCATTGAAACAGTAACTGTAACTGAATACAGTTACTCATATTCTCTGTTCTGTACTTGTTACTCTGATTACTCTGGTACTTGTACTCTGATTACTCTGGTACTTGTACTCTGATTACTCTGGTACTTGTACTCTGATTACTCTGGTACTTGTACTCTGATTACTCTGACACTGCAGGAGGAGTCTGGCTCGCTCCTCCACAGATCTGCTCTACATCAGTCAGAGTTCTGTCGCTGAGGAACAAAACACTAAGACGTTCTGGGCCAGAACCTCCATGTGCTTCTTACACAGCCACGCCTGGGTTCTCCTGGGTTCTCCTGGGTTCTCCTGGTTCTTCTTGGTTCTTCTTGGTTCTCCTTGGTTCTTGTTTTTTCTTGGTTCTCCTTGGTTCTCCTTGTTCTTCTTGTTCTCCTTGGTTCTCCTCCTTGGTTCTTCTTGGTTCTCCTTGGTTCTCCTGGTTCTTGGTTCTCCTTGGTTCTTCTTGGTTCTCCTTGGTTCTCCTTGGTTCTCCTTGGTTCTCCTTGGTTCTTCTTGGTTCTCTTGGTTCTCCTTGGTTCTTCTTGGTTCTCCTTGGTTCTCCTTGGTTCTCTTGGTTCTCCTTGGTTCTCCTTGGTTCTTCTTGGTTCTCCTTGGTTCTCCTTGGTTCTTCTTGGTTCTCCTTGGTTCTTCTTGGTTCTCCTTGGTTCTTCTTGGTTCTCCTTGGTTCTCCTGGCCGTGTGCTTCGGGTCATTGTCATGTTGGACTCAGACTCGACACATCTTCAATGTTCTAACTGAGGGAAGGAGGTCGTTCTCCAGAATCTCACACTCCGTGGTCCTGGTGCAGTGGCCCCGTCACATGTGCAGAACAACGACCCCCCAAAACACGACGCTCCCGCGGCTCGGCTCGGTTCTGCAGGAGTGACTGTGGAACATAGAACCCACAGAACACAGAACATAGAACCCACAGAACATAGAACCCACAGAACATAGAACCCACAGAACCCACAGAACAACAGAACAGAACACAGAACTAGAACCCACAGAACATAGAACCCACAGAACCCACAGAACACAGAACATAGAACCAACAGAACCCACAGAAACACAGAACACAGAACCCACAGAACACCACAGAACCCACAGAACATAGAACACAGAACCCAGAGGAGTGGGGGGGTTCTAAAGTTCCCTTGTCAAAGTTTATTTGTTGATATTTTGATATAAATCGTTTTATTTCTTTGTTTAATTGTGGAGGAGTCGGACATAAAGTTTATTTTTGTTTTTCTTTTATTTTCTGTTCAAAGTTGATTTGATTCATTTTCTGTTTTGTTCTTTGTAAAACTGATCTTCACTTTTAAATCTGATCTTTATTTTTAAAGTTTTGAGAGAGAAATGTTGAAGAAATGCACCATGTAACTAAACTCTAAATGTTTTAATAAATGTGATTTCAGTTTTGACCAAAATAAAACCGATAATATTTTTTTTTTCATATTCAAACGGCCTTTGACCTGCTCCACCTCGTGATGTCATCAAGTGAACAGCTCCTTTTCTCTTGGGTTCAGTCGAGATCGACGAGTCCATGATCCAGGTGATTCTAGTGAAGGTGAAGTGTGGAGTTTAAAAACACAGTGGAGCACTTCCTGTAGCACCACATGATGACGTCACGAGGTGCATCAGAGGGATTCAGGAGGAGAGTCTAAATGTGCAGTTTGTCGTAGACGAGATTTAAAATAAATAAAATAAAATAAAAAACATTTCAAAAAGTTTCAGGGGATTATGAGCACGCGCACGTCACCTGACCGCGCGCGCATCCACGTGGCAGACGTGGTGCCGTTGCGCGCTGACGTCAGACGCAGAGACGTGGAAGTGTCCGGAGTCCGAGGGTTAAATCCACTTCGGCGGAGTTCGGGATTAATGCGGAACATTTCAGGAGTTTGTGCGAAAACTGCAAAGATCCGGATCCTGAAATCTCACGAAACCTGAAGGAAAAACACGACGGAGCAAAACACGCGAGATCTGAAGGTGAGAAGCGCGTCCACGAGCGGCGCTGACCTCTACCTGCGTCCAGACCCGGTCTAAACCAGGACTAAACCAGGTCTAAACCAGGTCTAAACCAGGTCTAAACCCGGTCTAAACCCGGTCTAAACCAGGTCTAAACCAGGTCTAAACCAGGTCTAAACCAGGTCTAAACCAGGTCTAAACCAGGTCTAAACCAGGTCTAAACCAGGTCTAAACCAGGTCTAAACCAGGTCTAAACCAGGTCTAAACCCGGTCTAAACCAGGTCTAAACCCGGTCTAAACCAGGTCTAAACCCGGTCTAAACCAGGTCTAAACCAGGTCTAAACCAGGTCTAAACCAGGTCTAAACCCGGTCTAAACCCGGTCTAAACCAGGTCTAAACCAGGTCTAAACCCGGTCTAAACCCGGTTTAGACCCGCTGTAGACCCGGTTTAGTCCAGGTTTAGACCGGGTTCAGTTCTTGTTCAGTCCTGATTTAGTCCTCTTATAGTCCTGGTTTAGTCCTGCTTCAGTTCGGTCCTGGTTTAGTTCTGTTTTAGTCCTTTTTGGGTCCTGGTTTAGTTCTGGTTTAGTCCTTTTTGGGTCCTGGTTTAGTTCTGGTTTAGTCCTGGTTTAGTCCTGGTTCCCTGGTTCAGTCCTGGTTCAGTTCGGTCCTGGTTTAGTTCTGTTTTAGTCCTTTTTGATGTCTTTTTAGGTTATTTCATTCATGTTTGGTTTTTTTTGGTCTTTTTAAAATTCTCCAGGTCACGTGACTTAAAAAGTGCAAACACCGTTTTTCTGGTCGTGGTTAAAAATCTCGCCGCCTTTGGTTTTGTCAATAAAATCTTTGTGGATTTGTTTTCCTTGAACATCAGTGTTTTTTTCAGCGAGTGAAACTAAAGTCTGAGATTTTTACACAAACATCACAAACACAAACACAAAACAACACAAACACAACATCACAAACACAAACATCACAAACACAAACACACAAACATCACAAACACAAACGTCACAAACACAAACGTCACAAACACAAACACAAACATCACAAACACAAACATCACAAACACAAACATCACAAACACAAACATCACAAACACAAACATCACAAACACAAACATCACAAACACAAACACAAACACAAACATCACAAACGTCACAAACACCACAAACACAAACATCACAAACACAAACATCACAAACACAAACATCACAAACACAAACGTCACAAACACAAACGTCACAAACACAAACGTCACAAACACAAACGTCACAAACACAAACACAAACACAATCACAAACACAAACATCACAAACACAAACGTCACAAACACAAACGTCACAAACACAAACATCACAAACACAAACACACAAACACAAACGTCACAAACACAAACGTCACAAACACAAACGTCACAAACACAAACGTCACAAACACAAACACAAACACAAACGTCACAAACATCACAAACACAAACACAAACGTCACAAACACAAACGTCACAAACACAAACGTCACAAACACAAACACAAACACAAACACAAACATCACAAACACAAACATCACAAACACAAACATCACAAACGTCACAAACGTCACAAACGTCACAAACACACAAACACAAACGTCACAAACACAAACATCACAAACGTCACAAACACAAACGTCACAAACACAAACATCACAAACGTCACAAACACAAACGTCACAAACGTCACAAAACAAACGTCACAAACGTCACAAACACAAACGTCACAAACACAAACGTCACAAACGTCACAAACGTCACAAACACAAACATCACAAACGTCACAAACACAAACATCACAAACGTCACAAACACAAACGTCACAAACGTCACAAACACAAACGTCACAAACGTCACAAACACAAACGTCACAAACACAATAAACATCATGTTCCTTATTGAAAGTCTTAAAAACTCTTAAATTCTGTTTCAACTCTGAGTTTGTTCACAAAAGTTTTACATGAACATAAATCTGTTTTTATAAACTCACTCGAGCCTCAGTGCGCAAAAACAAACAAACAAACAAACAAACAAACAAACAAACAAGAACAAGATGAAATCATGTAACGTGACTGAACGTTTAATTTGAACCAAACTTTGGTTTGTTCATAAACATGAGTCGAGTTGAAGAAGACGAAGATCATGAAGAAGAAGAAGGTTTAATCCACAGACGCTCTGATGTTCCACACGCCCAACTGGTGTAGTTTGTTTGTTTGTTTGTTTGTAGTTTGTTTGTTTGTTTGTAGTTTGTTTGTTTGTTTGTAGTTTGTTTATTAGAATTGGAGCTGGAGTTTTTCAGTCGTATCATCGCTCAGATGTTGGTTTTCATTTTCATTTAGTTCATTAAAAAGGCTTTAAAAAGTCTTTAAAAAGTCTTTAAAAAGTCTTTAAAAAGTCTTTAAAAAGTCTTTAAAAAGTCTTTAAAAAGTCTTTAAAAAGTCTTACATTTGGGATAAACTGGGGAAACCCTGGACTAGGACCACACAAGGACTTGGACCACAGTGTAGTTCTGGTTTAGACCTGGTTTAGTCCTGGTTTAGTTCTGCTTTAGTCCTGCTTTAGTCTTGGTTTAGTCCAGGTTTAGTCCAGGTTTAGTCCAGGTTTAGTCCAGGTTTAGTCCAGGTTTAAGTCTCTGGTTTAGTCCTGGTTTAGTCCTGGTTTAGTCCAGGTTTAGTCCAGGTTTAGTCCTGGTTTAGTCCTGGTTTAGTTCTGAGTCTCGGTCTCTTGTTTATTTGACTTTGTATTGTTCATTGTGTTGGAGACCTGCAGGTCCCACTGCACTGACCCTCATGTCCTATTGTCCTCATGTCTCCTCATGTCCTCCTGTCCTCATGTCCTCCTGTCCTCCTCCTGTCCTCCTCCTGTCCTCCTCCTGTCCTCTCCTCATGTCCTCCTGTCCTCCTCCTGTCCTCCTCATGTCCTCCTGTCCTCCTCCTGTCCTCCTCATGTCCTCCTGTCCTCCTCCTGTCCTCCTCATGTCCTCCTCCTCGTCCTCCTGTCCTCCTCATGTCCTCCTGTCCTCCTCATCCTCCTGTCCTCCTCATGTCCTTCTCCTGTCCTCCTCCTGTCCTCCTCATGTCCTCCTGTCCTCCTTCCTGTCCTCCTCCTGTCCTCCTCCTGTCCTCCTCCTGTCCTCCTCATGTCCTCCTGTCCTCTCATGTCCTCCTGTCCTCCTCATGTCCTCCTGTCCTCCTCCTGTCCTCCTCATGTCCTCATGTCCTCCTCCTGTCCTCCTCCTGTCCTCCTCACCTCCTGTCCTCCTGTCCTCCTCATGTCCTCCTGTCCTCCTCATGTCCTCCTCATGTCCTCCTGTCCTCCTCATGTCCTCATGTCCTCCTCATGTCCTCCTCATGTCCTCCTGTCCTGTCCTGTCCTGTCCTCCTGTCCTCCTCCTGTCCTCCTCATGTCCTCCTCCTGTCCTCCTCTCCTGTCCTCCTCATGTCCTCCTCCTGTCCTCCTCCTGTCCTCCTCCTGTCCTTCTCCTGTCCTCCTCATGTCCTCCTGTCCTCCTCTGTCCTCCTCCTGTCCTCCTCATGTCCTCCTGTCCTCCTGTCCTCCTCCTGTCCTCCTGTCCTCCTGTCCTCCTCCTGTCCTCCTGTCCTCCTCCTCCTCCTGTCCTCCTCCTGTCCTCCTGTCCTCCTCCTGTCCTCCTGTCCTCCTGTCCTCCTCCTGTCCTCCTGTCCTCCTCCTGTCCTCCTCCTGTCCTCCTCCTGTCCTCCTCCTGTCTCTCCTGTCCTCCTCATGTCCTCCTGTCCTCCTGTCTCATGTCCTTCTGTCCTCCTCCTGTCCTCCTGTCCTCCTCCTGTCCTCCTCATGTCCTCATGTCCTTCTGTCCTCCTCCTGTCCTCCTGTCCTCCTCATGTCCTCATGTCCTCATGTCCTGTCCTCATGTCCTCCTGTCCTCATGTCCTTCTGTCCTCCTCATGTCCTCCTGTCCTCATGTCCTCCTCTCCTCCTGTCCTCATGTCCTCATGTCCTCATGTCCTCATGTCCTCCTCATGTCCTCATGTCCTCTGTCCTCATGTCCTCATGTCCTCCTCATGTCCTCATTCCTCCTCATGTCCTCATGTCCTCCTCATGTCCTCATGTCCTTCTGTCCTCATGTCCTCCTCATGTCCTCCTCATGTCCTCATGATGTCCTCATGTCCTCATGTCCTTCTGTCCTCATGTCCTCTGTCCTCCTCTTGTCCTCTCGTCCTCCTCTTGTCCTCTTGTCCTCTCGTCCTCTCGTCCTCTCTCGTCCTCTCGTCCTCCTCTCGTCCTCTCGTCCTCTCGTCCTCGTCCTCTCGTCCTCTCGTTGTGTTAGAGTCAGGTTGGGATCGATATCGACTGGTATCGATGGATCGATATCGACTCTGTAAAGTTCAGACTCTGATGTTTCAGTGAAAAGTTTCTGTAAAAGTTTTGACAGAAAAGTGAAACGTTAAAGAGAAAAGTTTTCACATGTTTTTATAAAAATAAACTTGAGCTGAGAGTTTGAGTCGTGTTTGACAAAAGAGTGAAATTCTATCAAACTTTAAGAAGAAAAAAAACAAAACAAAAACAGTTTTTATGTCTTGCTGTTTATTTGTAAAAATGTTTTTTAGTTGAAGTTTGTTTTTTTTCCAGGGGCAAACATGAAATAATAAAATCTAGACTGAAATATTCCAGAAAATTTACACTTTGGAAAAGTGTGCAGAGTCTTGAACTCACTTTAGATTCAGATGTTTAAAAATCACACACTTTTCCACAAACTCGGCTCGTTTTTCTTCACTCGTTTTGTGGAGTTTTATTAAAGTTTCTGTCGTCAACTGAACACAAATGAACAAAATATAATTTACACAAAAATAATCAGGAATCATTTTAAAAATAAACTCACACAAATGAAAACAGACAGAAAACAACACAACAATCACAAAACCAAACATCCTCCATGTTCTTCTTCTCTGGGGTCGGGTCTCGGGGGCATCAGTCTGAACAGAGACTCCCAGACTTCCTTCACCCCAGACACTTCCTCCAGCTCCTCCAGTGGGACCTGAGGTGTTCCCAGTCCAGTCCAGAGACATCGTCCCTCCAGTGTGTCCTGGGTCTTCCCCGGGGCCTCCTCCCGGTGGGACATGAACACCTCCTGAGGGACACGTCCAGGAGACGTCAGAACAGACGTCCTCCCCTCAGACGCTCCTCTCCACGTGGAGGAGCAGCGGCTCTACTCCGACCTCTGTCTCTAAGGGAGACGCCCAGACGCCCTGCGGAGGAAACTCATTTCGAGCGCTTGTATCCACGATCTCGTCCTTTCGGTCACTACCCAGAGCTCATGACCAGAGGTGAGAGGAGGAACGAAGACTGACCGGTAAATCGAGAGCTTCGCCTTTCGACTCAGCTCCTCTTCACCACAACGACCGATACAGCGACCGCATCACTGCAGACGCTGCACCTGTCCACCTGTCAATCTGCCCACGCTGCACCTGTCCACCTGTCAATCTCACGTTCCGTCCTTCCCTCACTCGAGAACAAGACCCCGAGATACTTGAACTCCTCCACTTGAAGGCAAAGACTCCCCACCCGCCCGGAGAGGGCAAGACACCTTTTTTCTGGTCGAGAACCATGACCGTCGGATTTGGAGGAGCCGATCTTCATCCCAGCAGCTTCACACTCGGGTCAAACTGCCCCAGTGCTGCAGGTCCTGGTCTGATGAAGACAACCAGCAACATCATCTGCAAACAGTAGAGATGAGATCCTGTGGTCCCCAAACCGGACCCTCCAGCCCCTGACTGCACCTAGAAATTCTGTCCATAAACACAATGAACAGAACCGGTGACAGGTGCAGCCCTGGCAGAGTCCAACATGCACCGGGAACAGGTCTGACTTACTGCCGGCAATGAACACAGCTCCTGCTCCGGTCATACAGGGACCGGACCCCAGACTCCCAGAGCGCCCCCCACAGGACACCACGAGGGACACGGTCCAATGCACATGTGGACTGGTTGGGCAAACTCCCATGAACCTCGAGCACCGATGGAGAGTGTAGAGCTGGTCCAGTGTTCCACCGCCAGGACCAAAACCACACTGCTCCTCCTGGATCTGAGGTTCGACTATCGGCCGAATTCTCCTCTCCAGTCCCTGGCATAGACCTTACCGGGAAGGCTGAGGAGTGTGATTCCCCTGTAGTTGGATCAAACCCTCCTCTCCCTTTTTTTACAGAGGGACCACCACCCCGGTTTGCCAGTCCAGAGGTACTGTCCCCGACCGCCACGCGATGTTGAAGAGGCGTGTCAGCCAAGACCCACAACATCCAGAGACTTCAGGTACTCAGGACGGATCATCCACCCCAGAACCACCGAGAAACTTTAACCACCTCAGCGACTTCAGGGTGACGGATGAGTCCACTTCCGAGTCCCCAACCTCGACTTCCTCCTCGGAAGACGTGACGGTGGGATTGAGGAGATTCTCAAAGTTTTCCTTCCACCGTCCGACAACGTCCCCAGTCGAGGTCAGCAGCTTCTCCCCCCGCACTGTAAACAGTGTTGGTGAAGAACTACTTCCCCCTCCTGAGGCGCCGGACGGTTTGACAGAATCTCTTTGAGGCCGTCCGATAGTCCTTCTCCATGGCCTCCCCGAACTCCTCCCAGCTCTGAGTTTTTGCCTCCGCGACCACACGGGCTGCAGCACGCTTGGCCCGCCGGTACCTGTCAGCTGCTTCAGGAGTCCCCCGAGCCAGCAAGGCCCGATAGGACTCCTTCTTCAGCTTGACAGCATCCCTTACTTCCGATGTCCACCACCGGGTTCGGGGATTGCCGCCGCGACAGGCACCACAGACCTTACGCCCACAGCTCCGAGCAGCTGCATCGACAATAGAGGCCGAGAATGAAGCCCACTCGGACTCCATATCTCCAGCCTCCCCCGGAATCTGGGAGAAGCTCCTGGAGGTGCGAGTTGAAAGTCCCTTTGACAGAGGCTCTGCCAGACGTTCCCAACAGACCCTCACTACACGCTTGGGCCTGCCAGGTCTTTCCGGCTTCCTCCTCCTCCAGCGAACCCAACTCACAACCAGGTGGTGATCAGTTGACAGCTCAGCCCCTCTCTTCACCCGAGTGTCCAAGACACGCGGCCGGAGGTCAGACGACACGACTACAAAGTCCATCATCGACCTCCGGTCGGAGATCGTCCTGGTGCCACGTGCTCTGATGGACCTTGTGCTGAACATGGTGTTGGTTCTGGACAAACTGTGACTCACACAGAAATTCAATAACAGAACATGACTGAGGTTCAGATCAGGAGGACGTAACCCTAACCCCAGTAGAACAACAGAGTCTCCGGTCGGTGAACTGTCTAGTCCCTCCCAGGGTCTGGCAGAAGGTCGGGTACTCGAGTACTCTGCACTGCTGTTGGGCCCGAAGGCGACACCACAGTGAGAGACGTGTCCCCGACCTGAAGGTGCAGGGACTCGACCCTCTCGAACTCCAACACACGACCCCCCCTTCCCGACACCAGAGAAACAGAGTCCAGCTCCTCCAAGAGTTTGGTTCCAGAGCCCAAACTGTGCTGGAGGTTGAGGTCGACTGTATCTGGTCGTTAACGTTCAACCTCCTGCACAAGCTCAGGCTCCTCCCCCCAGCGAGGCGACATGTCCCCAGAGCCACAGTCTCCATGTCCAGAGATCGAGGCCCCCGCTGTCGACTGCTGCTCAGATCCCTCTGCACTGGCCCCATATGGGTGGCCCTGTGGGGGAAGACCCGTCCACCAGGCGCTCGCTGGTGAGCACCCGCCCCAGGCCTGGCTCCAGGGTGGGCCCCCGGTGACGCCGATCTGGGCGACGTATCTGGCCTCGTTGATTCACTCATCATATGGCGCGTCTGACCTGACCCCAGGACCTGACCCCAGGACCTGACCCTGACCCCCAGGACCTGACCCCCAGGACCTGACCCCCAGGACCTGACCCTGACCTGACCCCAGGACCTGACCCCCAGGACCTGACCCCAGGACCTGACCCCTGACCCCAGGACCTGACCCTGACCCCCAGGACCTGACCCCCAGGACCTGACCCAGGACCTGACCCCAGGACCTGACCCCAGGACCTGACCCTGACCCCCAGGACCTGACCCCCAGGACCTGACCCCAGGACCTGACCCCCAGGACCTGACCCCCAGGACCTGACCCCAGGACCTGACCCCAGGACCTGACCCCAGAGCTCCTAGGATCATTCACAACACAAACACAAACCAACACAAAACACAAACGTTTGTTTAATTTTGTTCATTTAAATTTTGCTGTTTTGCGTCATCGCCCAAAATAAAACTGTTCAAATCTGAATCACCAAAAACTTTTAACAGCACAAACCAAACACAAACGTTGACAGTTTGTGTGTGTGTGTGTGTGTGTGTGTGTGTGCGATATCAGCAGAATCTGATATTCGATATTCGATATTTGATATTGATGACACAGGGATCCAGACCCCAGGTTTATCACGACGCCTCAAAGTCCAAACGTCAGAAGACGCCACATCAACATTACAGCTTTATTATCGTTTTATTACCGTTTTATTATCGTTTTATTATTGTTTTTATTATTGTTTTATTGTTTTATTATTGTTTTTATCAGGTCTGTGACACTGGGGCTGGGACAGACTCAACAGTTGAACTGTCATTGGTCAAAATGATCTGACTGTCCCTGTTTATGTCCTCACACCATCAGACCTGATCCAGACCTGATCCAGACCTGATCCAGACCTGATCCAGACCTGATCCAGACCCGATCCAGACCGATCCAGACCTGATCCAGACCCGATCCAGACCCGATCCAGACCCGATCCAGACCCGATCCAGACCCGATCCAGACGTCCTGAGGTAGGTGTAGGACTGAGTGTCCACATTGACGTGATGTTTTTTCATTCTTAATGAAATATTCCAGAGTTAAAATCTTCTCTTTTTGTTTCCATGGAAATATAATAATAATATATTATTATTATTATTATTATTATTATTATTATTATTATTATTATTATTATTATGTTGTTATTAATTTAATAATTAAATAATAATAATAATTAAAATAATAATAATAATAAAATAATAATAATAAACTGGTGAATCTGGTGAGATGTTTTTATTTTTTGGGGGAGGTTCTGATTGGACAGAGACACGACGAGAACAAACCACAAACATGATCCAGGAACCAAAATCAGAATAAAACAAACACTTAGTTCAGAATTAAGATTCAGTCATCATCATCTTCATCTTCATCTTCATCTTCATTCAAGTGTTTACATGAACTTTTTAAAGACAAACTCAGTTTGATTCAGAGTTAAATCTAAAGGACTAAACCAGGACTAGACCAGGACTAGACCAGGACTAGACCAGGATTAGACCAGGACTAGACCAGGACCAGACCAGGACCAGACCAGGACCAGACCGTGTCGTCGTCCGGTCGTACGAGGTCTGTGTTCCATTGGTTCGTTTTTTGAATTTGAATTAAGGAAAAATCATAAAAAGTGAAGTTTGTTATTTCATGTTTCAGTTTTAATTTGAAACAGAAAAACAGATTTGTTCGTGTTTCCAGGTGGAGTGAACGGTTTGTGTTTCCTCGGTGTTGTTTCCTCGGTGTTGTTTCTTCGGTGTTGTTTCGGTGTTGTTTCCTCGGTGTTGTTTCCTCGGTGTTGTTTCCTCGGTGTTGTTTCCTCGGTGTTATTTCCTCGGTGTTGTTTCTTCGGTGTTGTTTCCTCGGTGTTGTTTCCTCGGTGTTGTTTCCTCGGTGTTGTTTCCTCGGTGTTGTTTCTTCGGTGTTGTTTCCTCGGTGTTGTTTCCTCGGTGTTGTTTCCTCGGTGTTGTTTCCTCGGTGTTGTTTCTTCGGTGTTGTTTCCTCGGTGTTGTTTCCTCGGTGTTGTTTCCTCGGTGTTATTTCCTCGGTGTTGTTTCTTCGGTGTTGTTTCTTCGGTGTTGTTTCCTCGTGTTGTTTCCTCGGTGTTGTTTCCTCGGTGTTTGTTTCTTCGGTGTTGTTTCTTCGGTGTGTTTCTTCGGTGTTGTTTCTTCGGTGTTGTTTCTTCGGTGTTGTTTCCTCGGTGTTGTTTCCTCGGTGTTGTTTCCTCGGTGTTGTTTCCTCGGTGTTGTTTCCTCGGTGTTATTTCCTCGGTGTTGTTTCCTCGGTGTTGTTTCCTCGGTGTTGTTTCCTCGGTGTTGTTTCTTTCGGTGTTGTTTCCTCGGTGTTATTTCCTCGGTGTTGTTTCTTCGGTGTTGTTTCTTCGTGTTGTTTCTTCGGTGTTGTTTCCTCGGTGTTGTTTCCTCGGTGTTGTTTCCTCGGTGTTGTTTCCTCGTGTTGTTTCCTCGGTGTTGTTTTTCTTCGGTGTTGTTTCTTCGGTGTTGTTTCTTTCTCGGTGTTGTTTCCTCGGTGTTGGTGTTGTTTCCTCGGTGTTGGTGTTGTTTCTTCGGTGTTGTTTCTTCGGTGTTGTTTCTTCGGTGTTGTTTCTTCGGTGTTGTTTCCTCGGTGTTGTTTCCTCGGTGTTGTTTCCTCGGTGTTGTTTCTTCGGTGTTGTTTCTTCGGTGTTGTTTTTCCTCGGTGTTGTTTCCTCGGAGTTGTTTCTTCGGTGTTGTTTCTTCGGTGTTGTTTCTTCGGTGTTGTTTCCTCGGTGTTATTTCCTCGGTGTTGTTTCCTCGGTGTTGTTTCTGGTGTCTGTTTGAATCTTGATGTTTTGTCGTGTGGTTTGGTGAAGTTCTGCTGCTCAACGTCGAGTCTGAACTCAGACAAACTCAACCAAGACGCTTCAGCTCTGCTTCTGTTTCAGTTTCTGTTTCTGTTTCTGCTCATGGACTTCAACGGTCCGGGTTCCCACGCTCATGGAAATCCTGGAAAACTCGGGGAATTATGGCGTTTTAGCGTCTCTTTCCCGCAGCTCCAGTGTTGTGTTCAGTTCTCATGAGGCTGATTATTTCTGAACGTCTTGAGTTTAAAAGAGACGACGGTAAATGCACGGACAGGATTTAGAACGTTCAAAAACTATAATCCCAGACCATGAAGTGAGAGGAAAGAGTTCACGTTTCAGACCGACACTAAAACTCTGATCAGTTCTACACATGGAGGAGCTGGAAAGTCCTGGAAAACTCTCTGTAGTCATGGAAAAGTCATGGAACAGTTTTGAAATGTGGTCAGTGAAAAAGAGCGAGGACCCTGAACAGAGACTCTGTACGACGTGAAGGTCAAGGCCTCGATGTAAAAGAAAACACACGTTTGGATTTTCAGGCGACTCCTTCAAGCAGCAGAACGTCAGGAACAAAGGAACGAGAAACAAATAAAAGATTAAAGATTCATCAAATGCACACGTAGAGAACAGTTTGGAGAACAGTTTGGGGAACAGTCTGGGGAACAGTTTGAGGAACAGTCTGGGGAACAGTTTGGGGAACAGTTTGGAGAACAGTTTGGGGAACAGTCTGGGGAACAGTTTGGGGAACAGTTTGGGGAACAGTCTGGAGAACAGTCTGGAGAACAGTCTGGGGAACAGTCTGGAGAACAGTTTGGGGAACAGTTTGGGGAACAGTTTGGAGAACAGGTCTTGTTTATGAACGATGGCGTCAGGAGGAGTTTGACCCTCGACTCGTGTCACTGTTTTTAACTCCACATGGAGAAACTTTATGAGTCCAGAGTCCAGCACCTGTCCTCAAGAACAAGTCACACCAGATAAACCCTCACCTGTGACCCACTTCAGACCTGGTCCAGACCCGGTTCAGACCTGGTTCAGACCTGCTTCAGACCTGGTTCAGACCTGGTTCAGACCTGGTTCAGTCCCAGTTCAGACCTGGTTCAGTCCCGGTTCAGACCTGGTTCAGTCCCGGTTCAGACCTGGTTCAGTCCTGGTTCAGTCCTGGTTCAGACCTGCTTCAGACCTGCTTCAGACCTGGTCCAGACCTGGTCCAGACCTGGTCCAGACCTGGTTCAGACCTGGTTCAGACCTGGTTCAGACCTGGTTCAGACCTGGTTCAGTCCCGGTTCAGACCTGGTTCAGACCTGGTTCAGTCCCGGTTCAGACCTGGTTCAGTCCTGGTTCAGTCCTGACCTGCTTCAGACCTGCTTCAGACCTGCTTCAGACCTGGTCCAGACCTGGTCCAGACCTGGTTCAGACCTGGTCCAGACCTGGTTTCAGACCTGGTTCAGAACCTGGTTCAGACTGTTCAGTCCCAGTTCAGACCTGGTTCAGACCTGGTTCAGTCCCGGTTCAGTCCCGGTTCAGTCCGGTTCAGACCCGGTTCAGACCTGGTTCAGACCTGGTTCAGACCTGGTCAGACCTGGTTCAGACCTGGTTCAGACCTGGTTCAGTCCCAGTTCAGACCTGGTTCAGACCTGGTTCAGAGTCCTGGTTCAGACCTGGTTCAGTCCAGTTCAGACCTGGTTCAGACCTGGTTCAGACCTGGTTCAGACCTGGTTCAGACCTGGTTCAGACCTGGTTCAGACCCAGTTCAGACCTGGTTCAGACCTGGTTCAGTCCCGGTTCAGTCCCGGTTCAGTCCCGGTTCAGACCCGGTTCAGACCTGGTTCAGACCTGGTCCAGACCCGGTTCAGACCCGGTTCAGACCTGGTTCAGACCTGGTTCAGACCTGGTCCAGACCCGGTTCAGACCTGGTTCAGACCTGGTTTAGACCTGGTTCAGACCTGGTTCAGACCTGGTCCAGACCCGGTTCAGACCTGGTTCAGACCTGGTTCAGTCCCAGTTCAGACCTGGTTCAGTCCCGGTTCAGTCCTGGTTCAGTCCTGGTTCAGTCCTGGTTCAGACCTGGTTCAGACCTGGTCCAGACCTGGTTCAGACCCGGTTCAGACCTGGTTTAGACCTGGTTCAGACCTGGTTCAGTCCTGCTTCAGACCTGCTTCAGACCTGGTCCAGACCCGGTTCAGACCTGGTTCAGACCTGGTTCAGACCTGGTTCAGACCTGGTTCAGACCTGGTTTAGACCTGGTTCAGACCTGGTTCAGTCCTGCTTCAGTCCTGCTTCAGACCTGCTTCAGACCTGGTCCAGACCCGGTTCAGACCTGGTTCAGACCTGGTTCAGACCTGGTTCAGACCTGGTTCAGACCTGGTTTAGACCTGGTTCAGACCTGGTTCAGACCTGGTTTAGACCTGGTTCAGACCTGGTTCAGACCTGGTTCAGTCCTGCTTCAGACCTGTTCAGACCTGGTTCAGACCCGGTTCAGACCTGGTTCAGACCCGGTTCAGAACCCGGTTCAGGGTTCAGACCCGGTTCAGACCTGGTTCAGACCTGGTTCAGACCTGGTTCAGACCTGGTTCAGACCTGGTTCAGACCTGGTTCAGACTAGAGTTTAATATTTTCCCCAAAAATGAAATGAATCAAATCCCAGGACAAGAAATAAGTTCAGTTGTTTTTGTAGATTTTTTGGAGCCTGGTCTTGTGACTTTAAGTGGCTCCAGAGTTTAAGTGTGACTTTTTTGTGGTAAATATATTTAATAAACTGAGATCGGGACATTTGGTTTGTGAAGTGAAGTTGTAGTAAAACCAACAGAAGAGAAGAACAGACTGTTCACACTCTCACATATGAACAGTTCTTCAGATAAACTAAAAACAGAACAAGTTGAACAAACTCTCAGTTTCCCTCCAAATCACTAAATCACTTCAATTCTTCATCCTCGTGTCACTTCTGAACAACTCGACCTCGACCTCCGGAGGGAAACGGACTCAGACTCAGACTCAGTTCAGTTTGAATTATTTGTGTCTTTCTGAATCCCGACAGGATGTTTCAGTGTCACTGAAGTCCAGACTTTGTCCATCATCCAGTGACTTGAGGAAAGTTTCACGGTTCATCCTCCTGGTGTCACAAGTTTCTCTCTCACTCCAAACTTTCTTTCTGCT